CATGTGTCTAGTTGGAAATCCATAGTCTGGTGGAAAGGTAACCAGGGTGCTCTCTCTCCTGGTTGGACAAAGCTGTTGCTGGGGAGAAGGGGTAACAGGCTCCTCTCCCTGCGACAACCTCTCTTGTAGTAGGGGAAAACAAACTGCCTTCTCTTCCAATACATTGTCCTGTTGCTGGGGGCCAGGACAGACTGTCCATATCTCCAGTGGTGCAGGTGCAGAGACTACGGTCCCTTCTGCACTGTTGTGGGGCTTACTGTCTCCCCTTGGTGGGCTAGGCTGCCGCTGGGGAGAGGAGGTAACAAACTCCTCTCCCTTACACACTTCCAGCCGCTGGGGAGCAGGGCTGACCCTCCGTACTCCCTGTAGCTTGGGCGCAGAGACCACGGTCCCATCTGCGCTGGTGAGGGGCTTAGTGTCTCCCCTTGGTGGGCTAGGCTGCCGCTGGGGAGAGGGGGTAACAAACTCCTCTCCCTTACACACTTCCAGCCGCTGGGGAGCAGGGCTGACCCTCCGTACTCCCTGTAGCTTGGGCGCAGAGACCACGGTCCTATCTGCGCTGGTGAGGGGCTTAGTGTTTCCCCTTGGTGGGCTAGGCTGCCGCTGGGGAGGGGGAAAGACACTCTCCCCTCCCGGTAAAATATTCTGCCGCTGGGGAGCAGGACTGATCCTCCGTACTCCCTGTAGCTTGGGCGCAGAGACCACGGTCCCATCTGCGCTGGTGAGGGGTTTAGTTTCTCCCCTTGGTGGGCTATGCTTCTGCTGGGGAGAGGGGGTAACAAGCTCCTCTCCCTGAACCATAGACTGCCGCTGGGGAGAGGGGGTAACAAGCTCCTCTCCCTGACGCTCTCTCTCTTTCGTCCGCTGGAATTCTCGGTCCAGCCTTGTGTTTCGCTCAGCCATGACCTGGTTCCAGATCACCCGGCGTGTCTCCATGGGTACATCATCCCCATACTGGGCCACTCGCTGCCTTATTTCGGCCAGCCAATGATCTCCAGACCCTTCCATACTGGTCTGCTGGTGAAGAGGGGGACCATCTGTCTCCCCTTTCAATATATTGTCCTGCTGCTGGGGAGGAAGGACGGCACCTTCTGCTCCCTGGGGTACACACTGCCGCTGGGGAGGAAGAACGGCACATTCAGCTCCCTGGGGTACACACTGCCACTGGGGAGGAAGGACGACACCTTCTGCTCCCTGGGATACACACTGCCGCTGGGGAGGAAGGACGGCACCTTCAGCTCCCTGGGGTACACATTGCCACTGGGGAGGATGGACGACACCTTCAGCTCCCTGGGATACATACTGCCGCTGGGGATCTGGGCCGACTGCCCAGCATCCCTGTAGGGCCGGTAGAGAGACAGCCGTCCCATCTCTACCTGCCATCGGTGGGTCTTCCCAGGACCAGTCTATGAGGTCCCCTACTTCTGCAACTGGTAGTGAAGCAGTGGGGACCTCGGCTGCGTTTTCCCAGCTGTAGGTTGGCAGGTCTGGGTCCGCCACCCAGTTTTCCTGTTCTGCGTCTATGCTCTACGGCTGACATGAGTTCAGAAGTTCCACATAGTCCATCTCTAGCTGTCGTTCCTTGGCAGCCAAACGGTGGAGGTCTTGTCCCAGTCCCATAGATCTCGGGCCCTGTACCATCTCACCCCGGTAATAAAAGATAGCCCAGTACCGTGACTCTGCTGGACTGCCAAAGTCGACGTCTTCTGCTAAGGCCTTCCACATCAGGCCAGGGCTAATGTAGTTCTCCCCCTCCGGCTGGATGCCCTTTGCCCTCCACGTCTCTGGCTGGACAGTGCACCACCACAGTGCCCGGTATGAGGCGTCAAGGCTCAGTTCCCTTTCCACGAGGTACTCAAGTTGTCTGACCTGCTGCCCTCCGGGTTGGTCTCCCAGAAGCTGCATCCGCCAGGCCATTTGTTCCTCCAACCGGTATGCGACACCAGGAAGGTGCTGCTGCCGTTGATACTGGACTTCCTCCAGGGCATCGTACCATAGTTCTTGCCGGGCAATATCTCTCCATTCCAATTCACTCTCTTCCTCAGGTGTGCGTGTTGCCCAAGGATCCACGAACCCCATTTTCCCAAATCTTTATGTAGACAGGGACGCTGTATAAACACTAGCGTCGCCTTCAATTTGTAAATCCAAACGAACTGTGTCTCTGAGCTGCTTTACCTCGCACTAGGACGCCATCCCACCGCTGCCACCAATGTAACGGATCGTCTGGCACCCCGACTGGGTACCTCCGTTGAAAGGATGCTCCTAGCGCTTCCTGAGGACTCCAAGCACTGCAGCAGACACCACAATCACCGAACCGGAGAAGCAAATAAATTCTCCAAGCATATGAATGCTGTAGACAGTTGAATAGGAACCATACGAATAGGTTTACTCTCCTAGCAGTCAAACTGGAACAGCATACAATAAATCCTTCCCCCAATAATGAGACGACACTTCACTTTGAGGGTTAAAACAGGAACTCAAGTGCTGGCACACCCAGCCTGGTTTTTATTACAATCCACAAAACATAGTACTGCCCACAGGGTTTTGCAGAACCACCAATAAACACATTACAACACATACAATGCAAGTACAGCAGCCAATCAGACACAATGGGAAAATAGAAACACACCCAGCATATTCCTCCCCTCTGCTTAGGAGATAATTGAGTCAATTACTGTATCTACTCAATTATCTCCAAGCTGAAAAGTTACTTTTTGTACATTTTTATAACTCTGTGAGTTAACATCGCACATACATAAAACTTATATTATTTTAACCAGTATAACTTGGGGACAAACATATCCAAAATTCACTTGAATAGGTTCAGGGGTTTAACGGTTAGGTCGAAATCCTTTGTTTTTACTTGCAAGCATGATTTTTCCTGGCAAACCAGTTCCCACTGGTTTGGCAGTGTCCCTGGGACAACACCCTGCTGGAGAACAATGGATCTGGGGGAGGGGAAGAGGAAGTGTCCAAAAGGTTACAGTAAGTCCATTCACTGTGCTTAAAGAGCCAGTAGCCGCACAATAAAATACAATATGCCCAAATATTGCATTCAAAAGTACAACTTTACCAGGAGCCATAGTCAGCAGGAAGGAGGCGGGCAGCCAGGCCTCTCCAATGCCAGGTGGCGAGGCGGGTTCCGCCACACCCCCTCTCCCCAGCGGCAGCTTAATGTAACGGGGGGGACAGTAAACCCCACAACCGTGCAGATGGGACCGTGGTCTCTGCACTTACAGCACAGGGTGTAGGGACGGTCGGTTCTGCCCCCCAGCAACAGGACTGTTTAGCCAAAGGGGAGACAGTCGGTCTCCCCCTCCAGCAACCGAGCGGTGTAACCAAAGGGGAGACAGTCGGTCTCCCCCTCCAACAACCAGGCTTCAACCAGGCTACTCCAGTGGTAGCGCTGGCACCAGGGCAGAGTACCGCTGGTCTCTGCCCACTGAGCAACCCACCAAGTCAGCTTACCAGTCACCCACACAGCCGTGGTGAGGCACCTGGACAATCAGGAGGTCAGACACCCTGTTAGTCTGTTTGGAAAAGGGGAGAGATGTGACGAGACCAATCTCGCCACATTGCATTGGAGAAGCCTGGTTGCTCTCCTGTTTCCTTTGAATTATGGCCCCTTGTTAAAAGGCTTGGATTTTCCCCTGCAAAGACATGAAAGCCGGGTCATTTGGTGCTTGCCCTGTTTGAGCAGTGATACCCCAGATAGCTACGCCATGGAGCCCATTCGTATAATGAAAGACCATGGGAAAGACTTTGCTTCCATGGCAATTGAACTGTATGTGTGTGCTCTGAGCGCCATTCAGTAATAATGTGCGCTCAGATCTGAGCTATCTGGGGATATGTTGAATGTACCTGTTTTGTGCAATGGCTGCACAGTTATATGTTTTTATGTGTTGTATTGTCTTTTGCTGCCATGTGTTCAATGGAGTTTTGCCTCTGTCTTTGGAGATAATTGGATTACTTCCCAATTATCTCCAGGATAGAAGACTCTGTGGAACTGGTTTTGGGCAGAAAAGCCATGCTTCATTTGGTCACAAAGGACTACGATCTAGCTTTTGAACCACTGGACCAATTTGGATGATTTTGACGTATGTTTGTATTTGGAGTATGCTGATTCTCAAAATGTAATTTTATGTGCATGTGATGCATACTGTTCAAGTTATGAATAATGTGGACAAATTGTATTTCTCTGCTTGTTATAATTACATTACCCATTGTGTCACAGGCAGAGGGGAGGATTTTGTGTGGGAGTGTCTGAGTGTATTGGATGTGTTTATTGGTTGTGTTCCAAAACCCTGTGGGTGGTACTAATGTGTAAGAATGTGTACATAAGCACAATAAACCCACAGCTCTGTCTGTTCACTGCTTGACCCTCAACACTGAGCTTTGTCTCGTTCTTGGGGGGATTTATTGTATGCTGTTCCAGTTTGACTGCTAGGAGTGTAAACCTATTCGTATGGTTTTTCCTATTCGGCTGTTTACAGCATTCGTATGGTTTCCTGTTCGGCGGATTGGTGTTCTGCAGTAGCTGTGCCTGTGTCTCTGGGAGGAGAAGATCTCCTAAACGTCAGTTTAACCCTTTTATGCCTGGGGGTGCCGTTACACATAGTATCTGTAATTTGTTCCTCTTGCATAAAAGCTAGGCTTTATGGATTAAATCTAATTTTGCAAATTAAAGTAAAAAGGAGTATACACAATTTTGCTAGTGAAGGGGTTAAAGCACACAAAATACTTAATTTCTTTGTAATCACTATGACACCTGAGGGTTGTATTTCTTATCTATTAGGCAAATATTGACAGTTTTTCTAAGTATAGCAAACAATAATTTTATAGTGACCAATTTCCTTTAACTCCCAGTATATTTCTTTCAGGTGTATTTGTCAGGAGAGGTGACAAGAACAGAAATACATGAAGCAAGGCTATGAAGAAATCTTTTAATAACAGAACCAAGGAGTCTAACTGAACAATCAAGCATTTTCTCAGATACCTATATGTTCTCAAAGGCGATAGTAAACCTAAACCCCAAACCTTTCGTATGTCCTGAATGTGGAAAATGTTTTCGCTATCACTCAATTCTTATTAGACATCAGAGAACTCACACAGGAGAGAAACCATTCTCATGTTCTGAATGTGGAAAATGTTTTAGCTATCACTCAATTCTTATTAGACATCAGATAACTCACACAGTAGAGAAACCGTTCTCATGTTGTGAATGTGGAAAATGTTTTACCTACAGAGCAGATCTTGTCCGTCATCAGAGAACTCACACAGAAGAGAAACTGTTGTCATGTTCTGAATGTGGAAAATGTTTTACCTACAAAGCAGCCCTTGTCCATCATCAGAGAACTCACACAGGAGAGAAACCGTTCTCATGTTCTGAATGTGGGAAATGTTTTACCTACAAATCAGACCTTGTCCGTCATCAGAGAACTCACACAGAAGAGAAACCGTTCTCGTGTTCTGAATGTGGAAAATGTTTTAGGCTACCTTCAAATCTTGTTGGACATCAGAGAACTCACACAGGAGAGAAACCGTTCTCATGTTCTGAATGTGGAAAATGTTTTACCTACAAATCAGACCTTGTCCGTCATCAGAGAACTCACACAGAAGAGAAACTGTTGTCATGTTCTGAATGTGGAAAATGTTTTACCTACAAAGCAGCCCTCGTCCGTCATCAGAGAACTCACACGGGAGAGAAACCGTTCTCATGTTCTGAATGTGGAAAATGTTTTACCTACAAAGCAGACCTTGTCCGTCATCAGAGAACTCACATAGAAGAGAAACCGTTCTCGTGTTCTGAATGTGGAAAATGTTTTAGGCTACATTCAAATCTTGTTGGACATCAGCAAACTCACACGGGAGAGAAACCGTTCTCATGTTCTGAATGTGGAAAATGTTTTACCTACAAAGCAGACCTTTTCTGTCATCAGAGAACTCACGCAGCAGAGAAACTGTTCTCATGTTCTGAATGTGGAAAATGTTTTACCTACAAAGGAGACCTTGTCCGTCATCAGAGAATTCACACAGGAGAAAAACTGTTCTCATGTTCTGAATGTGGAAAATGTTTTACCTACAAAGCAGCCCTTGTCCGTCATCAGAGAACTCACACAGGAGAAAAACCGTTCTCATGTTCTGAATGCAAAAAATGTTTTTTCACTAATGCAAAGCTTGTCCATCATCAGAGAACTCACACAGGAGAGAAACCGTTCTCCTGTCCTGAATGTGGAAAATGTTTTGTCACCAACAGCGATCTTGTCCGTCATCAGAGAATTCACACTGGATTAAAACCGTTCTCATGTTCTGAATGTGAAAAATGTTTTTTAACCAAAGCCAACCTTGTCCGACATCAGAGAACTCACACAGGAGAGAAACCGTTCTCATGTTCTGAATGCGAAAAATGTTTTTTCACCAATACAAAGCTTGTCCATCATCAGAGAACTCACACAGGAGAGAAACCGTTCTCATGTCCTGAATGTGGAAAATGTTTTGTCACCACCAGCAATCTTGTCCGTCATCAGAGAATTCACACTGGAGTAAAACCGTTCTCATGTTCTGAATGCGAAAAATGTTTTTTAACCAAAGCCAACCTTGTCAGACATCAGAGAATTCACACAGGAGAGAAACCGTTCTCATGTTCTTAATGTGAAAAATGTTTCGTCACCACTGCAGGGCTTGTCTGTCATCAGAGAACTCACACATGAGTGAAACTGTTCTCATGTCCTGAATGTGGAAAATGTATAGTGCAACATTCAGATCTTGTCCGTCATCAGAGAACTCACACAGGAGAGAAACCGTTCTCCTGTTCTGAATGTGAAAAATGTTTTTCTACCAACAAAGATCTTGTCTGTCATCAGAGAACTCACACAGGAGAGAAACCGTTCTCCTGTCCTGAATGTGGAAAATGTTTTGTCACCAACAGCGATCTTGTCCGTCATCAGAGAATTCACACTGGAGTAAAACCGTTCTGATTGTGAAAAATGTTTCGTCACAAATGCAGGGCTTGTCTGTCATCAGAGAACTCACACATGAGTGAAACTATTTTCATGTCATGAATGTGGAAAATGTATAGTGCAACATTCAGATCTTGTCCGACATCAGAACTCACACCGGAGAGAAACCATTCTCATGTTCTGAATGTGAAAAATGTTTTGTCACCAATGCAGAGCTTGTTCGTCATCAGAGAACTCACACAGGAGAGAAACCATTCTCGTGTTATGAATGTGGAAAATGGCTTTCTGTTAAACATAATCTTGTCAAACATATATATGCATCTATGGATTAACATAGGAATAAAATATCTTGTATTGTGAATATTTCTAATGCTGACACAATAAATGGTAACTTTGATAGTAGCAGTCAACATACATATGATGTATTGGTATTGTGGCACCCCCATACTATCGTCCAGAGGTGCCTAACTTCTGCTCCACTTGGTTGTGGACTCACCGGCAACGCAGTATACAATCAGGATACATTGTGGTTGTATGTTCTGGCTGTTATAAAGTTTACTAACTAACCTGTTCCACTGGTAAAACACTTCAATGAATATGGTTCCTTAGCATAACTTAAAATTCCTCTGACTGAGGAATGTAAATTAGGTTAAGCTAATTACCTCTCGGGGTCCTTTATTATTACCTGCGCTCTTCCCAAATCCCAATGCATATTTACACAAATGCAAGTTAATTAGTTACTCCAATGGCTATTAATAGATTGATGTCCACCTGTGACATAAAGGCAAACCTTTTAGGTGGGTCCTATACTGACTATTCATCTTGCTTCTGTCGAAGATATCTAAACTGAGACTGATAGGGGTATTTCTCTTAAGCCCTACATGCTTATTAACCCTTAATTGGGAACACATGGGGTGGGTGTCAGCCGCATTGTAACATAGCTGTGTGATACAAAAGTAAAGGCAAATACTCAAAAACAAGTCCTGCGCTCCAACACCCACTACTCTTGGGCGGCAGCAACTGCCATAGTACACCTTAACCCTTAACACATACAGTAAAAACCAAGGAAAAAAGTTAACCATTTTTATTATTCATGGCTAGATTGGACAGAATGGTTATTAAGCCACAACCCTTTTACACATATTTTAAACAATTAAATAACCTTATCCTTATATGTACACCTCCTAATTAATATAAGAGCCTTTTGCAGATAGTTTTTCACCACCAGTGCTTAATATCAAAAATCAAATATTAACGTGAAGTGCATACATATTGCTGTATTGGTCCAGATGCGTGCAAAGACTTTATGTTGTTTTTGGATGTCGTGTATGTTTAAATACAAATTTTAAGGCTGCAAGACAATCTGATTCAATTATTGGAACTGTGATATGACAAACAAACATCTCAGCATCAGCCAATGTGCGGTCCATTTATTTCTTATAGATACTGCTAAATACGCTGTTCTACTGAAAGGTTGTATTTTTATCTTATTTGCACTTTAAGAACCATCATTCCAATTTTGTGCATTCCTACATACCTCTATGTTTCAAGAAAAACATAACTGTAGAAAAAGTCAAACGGTTCCCTGCAACAAGTGGTAGTACCCTGCTTGATGAAGGAGTAATATTTGTTGACTGAAGCCATGGTTTTCAGCATGGGAGGCACTTGATTCCCTCTGAATTTTCAACTTGCCCCCTCCCCACAGGTAATTTTTCCTCGGACTGTGACAGTTCAGTCTAAAGGCAAAGAAGGAGGGAGGTGCTGAGGGCTGCATTTAGGCTTCCGGGGGGCACTGAGAGGCTCCCTTCCAAATCCACAGCAATTTGGCGCCTCTATGCTCTGCCCCCACATTCATGCCCCGCCTCACGTACACATGCCCCATCCCCAAAGCCCCCCCACTCACGCTGCTGACCTCACCCAAAGGAAGGTGATAGAATATGGAGACTTAATTTCCCAATGCTCCTAGTCTCCCACAGCCTGTGACAGGTAAGCTTCAGCCCATGACAGTGATTGTGTATGTGTGTGCGCCTGCTAGTAAGTAAGTTTGTATGTGTGGGTGTGTGTGTCCATTAGCTTGCCTGTAGTGAGCATGTGTGTGTCAGTGAGCTTGTCTGTAGTGAGCATGTGTGTCAGCGAGCTTGTCTGCAGTGAGCATGTGTGTGTACATGGCTGAACTTGTCTGCAATGATATTGTGTGTGTGTGTGTGTGTGTGTTAAAACTCCTCAAAAATGGTTAACAGAAGGAAAATTTCCACCTAGGCTCTCTTTTTATTGAGTATGCTCATTGTCATTACAAATATCCCCCTGGAATTATTGCGGACGCCCAGGACTGAAGCTGCATGACATTCCAAGGATCCTTTGTTTAAACATCCCAAAGTTACTATGTGGAATCAGAGGGGAGCAGGAGGAATAAACACATTAGTAAAACGTTGCTCTTATACATATATTGTTTTTGTTAAACACATCTTTTTAACTGTTGAGTTAATTGTGGAGTGGCTGCGTGTAACATGTAACATCTGTCTGTAAAAGAGGTTAATCCTGCAAATATTTGAGATTATTGAAAGTATTAGACAGATTAAGGGATATTGAGCAAGTCAACTGGTTTAAAATGGAAAGTCAAAAAGTTGCATTATTGGCAAAGTGCTTTCTTGAAACTAATGATTCTATGCATGAATAGTGTCAACTTAAAAAGGCAAGTAATTGTTATGCTTATAGTACATCGAAACAAAAATGAGATGTGTTGTTAAAACAACTGAAAAATATGTGTTGTTACAAGGTGTAGTAATTTCCCAAGCCTCCCTAGCAAAACTCCTCCAAAATTGTTAATACAAGGGAAATTGCCCCCGGACTCTCTTTTAATAGTGCATAGGATGCAACATTAGCTGAAACAAAAACTCAGATAGAAGATAGTGGTTTAGTAGTGATGAAGAAATTGTAGATCATAATATAATGAAAGAAATTCTTAGAAATTAGATGGATCTTGGAACGGATCACCTGGCACCCCGACTTGGTACCTCCATTGAAGGATGCTCCTAGCGCTTCCTGAGGGCTCCAAGCACTCCAGCAGACACCTCCAGGCACTGGACGTCACTCAGTTCTGGGAAGTCTGGAACCGAATGAGGAATTAGCTCTAGTCCTTACAAGGACTTTCCCCATTGAATCTCCTGCAAGCTGGAACAGCAGACACAGGAGCAAATTTTCTTCCCTCCAAAAACAGGACGACACACGGTTTGGAGTGTAAGCAGGAGCAGACAGAGCTGTGGTTTTATTGCTTCTTATATACACATTTTTACAAAATGCTACCACCCACATGGTTTTATAGCACAGCCAATCAAATACATTATAATACAGATAAACACTCCCAGTCAGGACAAACAAACCCTCCCCTCTGCCTGTGATATAATTACTGTACACAATGGGTTAATGTAATTATCACAGGCAGGAAAATACAGTTTTTATACCAATCCTATAACTTTAAAACTATGTATGCAATATATGTCACATATTATTAATCAGCATGCTTTAATTACAGACATATTTAAAAATCAGACAGTTCCCTCCAGTGGTTAAAAAGTTAATTGGAAGTCCTTTTTGACCAACTGCAAGCATGCTTCCCTGCCCAAAACTGTTCCACAGATTCAGGCTGTGCAGCCGGTCGATTTGCACCTCCATCCTGGATATAAAATTAAAATATATAACTAATATTCTATAGAACTGAACCCCCACATTTGACCTATCCTCAGATAGCTTGGTTCTAAACGCTTACTATAGCTGAACAGCGCTCAGATCCCACGAACACAGTCAAATCGCCAAGGGGTTAAACCATAGCAAGGGCTGAGGAGGAACAAAGCAGCCAGTTCCAACTGGTCTGGCAGTGTCCCTGGGACAACGCCCTACCGGACAACAATGGGACATGAAACAGGGGTGGGGCACACCTTCCCATGTATTCAAAGGGGCAGAAAAAGTGTCCCAAAATCCAATAAGCCCAAATAATCGTTTCCAAAGGGAAATACCCCTCGAGGCCATAGTCCTGGGGCAAGAGGCTGGCAAACAGGCCCCTCTAAAAAACAGTGGCGAGGCCACTTTCGCCACAGATCTGTTAGACCAAGCACGTCAAACTTGTGACCCATTGGCCACATGCGGCCCACAATGAATATATATTTGCGGCCGCCTGCCTTGGCGCAGCTTTGTGCTGTGGCTGTTAGCGGGAAAAAAAAAAACAGAAAAGATATTTCTTGTCTGATTCTTGCCTTCCATTCCATGGCCACAACTTGTCTGAAGAGCAGGCCAGCCACTTCCCCTTCCCTCCCGCTCGCAGGAGCAGGGCTGGAACTGGAGGACACGTAAAGGTAGGAGAAGAGGGGCTTGGAGTACCGTCCTGTGCAATGTGTTAAATTGGGTAGGGGGGCAGTGTATTAGAGTGGTGATAGGGGGGCTGTGTATTATGAGGGGGCACAGTGAATTAAATTAGGGGAGGGAGCGGGTAGTGTATTAGATTAGAGTGGGGGCAGTGTATTCAATTAGGGGAGGGAGGGGGACAGTGCAATAAATTAGATTAGGGTGTGGGGACTGTTTTCAGTTAGTGGAGGGAGGAGAGGCCGTGTATTAGAATTGTAGGAGGGCGCAGTGTATTAGATTTGGTCTGCATGGAGACGCTGAATGCTACCCATCGAGATGCTGATTGGCTGTGCAGCTTTTTGTCAGACATGCACAATATCCTCCCAAAGCTTTCCCATGGGAAAACATTGGATTGGCTGAGATCAATGAAGTTTGATGATCTCAGCGAAATGAAGAACACACTCATAGGATTTCAAAATCAACAAGATAACGTCATGTGTTTTTTACAGCTGTGCAACATTCACCATTTAAGTCTGTAACGGTCACCCCTATGGAGTGGGGGTAGTTACCATCTGGGTGTCCTTCTTCCCACTACTGGAGAACACTGCAGAGCTTCAACCTGGTGTCCTGAGGAGCTGGTAAAGCGGGCTCCTTCCTCAAGGAGGATATAACTGGGTCCCTAGAGTGGGCTCTGTAACGGATCACCTGGTACCCCAATGCTCCTAGCGCTTCCTGAGGGCTCCAAGCACTCCAGTAAACACCTCCAGGCACTGGATGACACTCAGTCCTGGGAACTCTGGAACCGAATGGGGAATTAGCTCTAGTCCTCACAAGGTCTTTCCGAGTTGAATCTCCTGCAAGCTGGAACAGCAGACACAGGAGCAAATCTTCTTCCGTCCAATAACAGGACGACACACAGTTTTGGAGTGTAAGCAGGAGCAGACAGAGCTGTGGTTTTATTGCTTCTTATATACACATTTTTACAAAATGCTACCACCCACATGGTTTTATAGCACAGCCAATCAAATACATTATAATACAGATAAACACTCCCAGTCAGGACAAACAAACCCTCCCCTCTGCCTGTGATATAATTACTGTACACAATGGGTTAATGTAATTATCACAGGCAGGAAAATACAGTTTTTATACCAATCCTATAACTTTAAAACTATGTATGCAATATATGTCACATATTATTAATCAGCATGCTTTAATTACAGACATATTTAAAAATCAGACAGTTCCCTCCAGTGGTTAAAAAGTTAATTGGAAGTCCTTTTTGACCAACTGCAAGCATGCTTCCCTGCCCAAAACTGTTCCACAGATTCAGGCTGTGCAGCCGGTCGATTTGCACCTCCATCCTGGATATAAAATTAAAATATATAACTAATATTCTATAGAACTGAACCCCCACATTTGACCTATCCTCAGATAGCTTGGTTCTAAACGCTTACTATAGCTGAACAGCGCTCAGATCCCACGAACACAGTCAAATCGCCAAGGGGTTAAACCATAGCAAGGGCTGAGGAGGAACAAAGCAGCCAGTTCCAACTGGTCTGGCAGTGTCCCTGGGACAACGCCCTACCGGACAACAATGGGACATGAAACAGGGGTGGGGCACACCTTCCCATGTATTCAAAGGGGCAGAAAAAGTGTCCCAAAATCCAATAAGCCCAAATAATCGTTTCCAAAGGGAAATACCCCTCGAGGCCATAGTCCTGGGGC